ATACACGTCTATACACACACACACACACACACACACACACACACACACACACAAATCAAATTTAAGCTAAGTTAAAGAAAGCCTGTGGATGATGTAGGACTCACTTGAGCATTGCGGAATCGTTGGATTTCACTCCTCTTGGCTCGCCGCTCCAACGTCCTCATCTTCTTCAGCTCTAGCTTGGCTGCCTGGACCCGGTCAGCCTCAGACTGTGCCATTTGGGACTACGAGGAGAGAGACAATGTTGTGGTTAAAGTTGCATTAATGATCCACTATCGAGATTATAAAAAACATGTTTGCTTTATCCGTTTAAGTTTGGGGCATGAGCCAAAGAGTTTACACCTAAGTTCTGAGATTCCTGCTCAGAGACAAATGCTGATGCAACAACAAATGTTGACAGTGAAACCTAGAGTTTCACGGAATGTGGGTTTTTCCTAAAATCGCCTGTAGTCATATGGAGGAAGAGAGATTGTGGGGAGGGGTTAGAGAAAGCTGATCCTCCTGAGGATCCACAGATCAGAGCATTAACAAACAAGCTCAGAGCAGAAACTATTGCTGAGGAAGAACAACTTGTCATGAACATGACAGACTATGACTGAGGGAGGGACCCAAAACAACATGTGAGTTTATTAAAGAAGGTACAGATTTATGAGAGGAACAAGACTTTCTGCTGTCCTGATGCATCTCCATAATCCTGGTTAAAACACCTAAAACAAAGTTGAGTAGGTCCTCTGGACCCAAACAGATTTTTAGTCAGCCACGCAGTGAAAATGTAGACCAGATGTTGCAAGAGTTTAAGAAAAACTGATACATTTATTCTCTAAACATGACGTCCCAGTGGCTTTCAAACCTCAAGACACATTACAACAAAGACTGGTTCACCCCAAACATCCTGTCCCCCAGCACAACCAGAGTAATGTTGTGTATGCTGTTAAGTGCATACATCGGAGAAACAAAGCAACCCCTATTTAAAAGAATGGGCCAACACAGAAGACTGAAATATCAGACCAGGACTCCACAGTTTACATTCATCTACAGGCCAGGACTCTACAGTTTACACTCATCTACAGGTCAGGACTCTGCAGTTTACATTCATCTACAGGCCAGGACTCTACAGTTTACACTCATCTACAGATCAGAACTCTACAGTCTACACTTATCTACAGGTCAGGACTCTACAGTTTACACTCATCTACAGATCAGGACTCTACAGTTTACACTCATCTACAGGCCAGGACTCTACAGTTTACACTCATCTACAGATCAGAACTCTACAGTCTACACTTATCTACAGGTCAGGACTCTACA